CCTAACTAAAGCTGCTGGTGCCCCTAAAGGCCTGGCTAATTTCACGTGCCGCAAGATAGAGTCACCTATAACCAGAGCTCTTTCAGGTTTCTCAGCGGGTGCTTCACTGAGGAGAGCAAACCTGTTGGACACGTGAAGCGGAGAGGAGTGGTGCTCCCGTGGGCGAGCCTTAGCGTTAGCTTTGGCTTTGCGATTATGCTGCTGATTATGTCGCCCTGCTGTGAGGGCTCTAATGCCTGATTTAGGGGATTGTTATCTCTAAGGCATCCAGACCTTCCATTACAGAACCTATACAGCTCTCACTCTCACTAATCCTCTATAGTGTCTGGATGCGCACCTCTAATGCTGCAATCTTCTCCATCAGAAAGCTAACTAATATACACTTAGCACAAATAAAGCTATTACTAACAAAGGAGGAAGAATGACTAAACAACCTGCACTCAACACACTGAACAAGCTGAATGTTTCACATGTTGTTTAACATACCATATTCGAAGATTGGTTGATATTTTACATGGATCTGGCATGGATGGGCTCTGCTCACTGTCTTTAGACAAAAAAAAACAAAAGCATTCTTAAAAAAAATGAAAATATGGCATAAGGGAAAGTTAACAATACAACAGATGAAAAAAATAGCACAAAATTATTGATGAAAAAGAAAGAAATGGTATAGTTTAAACGCTGATGCAGGCAAGAAACTCCCGGCAAACAATTCGAAAACAAGAACTACGTCACAGGAAGTCAACTGCACTAAAGTCAAGGTGGAAAGGTATCCTGATCTAGTAGTGCTAAGAGCCTTTCTATAGCTCAGGAGGCTCTCCATCCATGTAATTTGGAATACCAAGTTAGTTTGACACCACTTATGTTCTAATTTTTTAGTAGTCTATTAAGGTGTATGTGTGATCATTTTTTCTTTCTTAATTGTTTTTCTTTAAGTGGAGCTACATTATCTAGAGTGCAGCAAAATGTTGACTCTAAGTATTGATTTGTCTCATCAAATTCTGTGGAGTCAGATGGTGATCCAAGCAAGGTTGATAACTCTGGGAAACACATTTTAAATTAGACGAGATAATGATCTGAGATCGTTTCAAACTGTAAACAGTATTGAGACAATTAATTGAAATTGGCCAGCTTACTGTCATTTTAATTTCACAAATAATTGCAATTGTACGAAATATCAGAAGATGACATCAGAATGGAGCAGTTGCTTGTCTGATAGGGCTCCATAACTGCCCATATGCGAAGAAGCCCATGGGTCTGGGAGAAACCACGCATTAGGGTGCTCTGGGAGGTAGAGGTTGAGAGACACTTCACAGAAAGTCTCTGGCTGCAGCATTTTAGAATTTCACGGTCTGTATAGGAGCCATGTAAATATTCATGTGTGATGTCATGTGACTGTGGGAAAATATGGGAGTGTCATTAATTATTTGAGAGTTAAAGCACCTGTTGTGGGAGGGGTTGGCAGGAAGGAAGGGGGTGAGTGTGGGAGCACACATTTGTTGAGCAGCGCTGATGGAGCATATAGATCTATTCACACTCGTTCATGAGAAGGATTACAGCATGATTGGATTTTCGGAACAACAGGATCGATGATTTTGGATATGTTTGCTGACATCAAATTGGTAGGACATTTTTTCTTTGCTTGTGTTTGCAGATCATTTGAAATGGCTTGGTGGTTTTGTTGCTGTTGGTTTGCTGTTGACCTAGCACTATTGGTGTGTTTTAAGCCGTTGTTTGGGCTTTCATGAAAGTGTTTGAGTTGAGGAGCGTCTTTGATGTGCTTTGTTACAAAGTGTTTGCTTATCTAGTGCAGATAATGAACCTGAACAGGACGACTGTAAAAGAAAAGTTCAGCTTACCGCAAAGCTTTGGCTAATAAAATTGAGCAACTTCAGAAAGAAGAGAAATGTGAATTTGATTAAAAGTTCTATACTGGCCATCAAAGAACTCATGCAAAGAAATGAGAATATTTCAGCTGTTCGGTCTGAACATTTTTGTTTTTGAAGAGGCAATCAAACTTCATGATTCTGTGACCCCATTATTACCCGATGATGAGCAAACCAAACAGAATGATTAGTTCTCAAGTATATATTCAGTCAGGTCCATAAATATTGGGACATCGACACAATTCTAACATTTTTGGCTCTATACACCACCACAATGGATTTCAAATGAAACGAACAAGATGTGCTTTAACTGCAGACTGTCAGCTTTAATTTGAGGGTTTTTACATCCAAATCAGGTGAACGGTGTAGGAATTACAACAGTTTGCATATGTGCCTCCCACTTGTTAAGGGACCAAAAGTAATGGGACAGAATAATAATCATAAATCAAACTTTCACTTTTTTAATACTTGGTTGCAAATCTTTTGCAGTCA